GTTTGAGGCCAGCTTGGTCTATAGAGCGAGTTCCAGGATAGCCAAGGCTACACAGAGAAATCATCTCAAATGCAACAACAACAACAACAAAAAACCTTTTTCCCCTTTGACAAAAGACAAACAGCATAGCATGAATGTGAATTGGTTTAATGTTGACTTTGAGAAGTAGAAAGTGGCCAATGAGTGAAAAGAAGTGACGACGGGTTCACATACTGCAGTAAAGGAAACTCGCAACAGCCATGTCAGTGGAGGGCAGCTGTGGGGAGAGGCGGGGGCAGAAGAGAACTGCTCGCAAGGCACAAGAGATTTGGTGACTTACGCTTCTTCAGGCTTCACAATGCGAGGTGATGCTGGTGGCTCATTCATGCCCGCTGTCAGGATGGGCCACTGGGGTGCCGTGCCACAGCTGTTTTTATCTCTGCCATTGACAGTGACAGTGGCACAGTGGGCAGTCCATTCCAATTGTGACTTCTGCTCTTGTGAGAGGAGCAATCGCCATTAGGAGGCATGAACATTGCCTCATTTCCAAGGTAGCTTGGTAGAGTACAATCTGGTTGCCATAGCAACTCTGTAGCAGTGAAATTACATGAACTGAACATTTGAGGAGAGATGTGTTGGTATGATGGCCATTTACGTATCTTTTTTCCTGAAGAATTGAAGTATAGGAGATTAGGAACTGAACTTTGTAAGCTAGTGTGTGTGTGTGTGTGTGTGTGTGTGTGTGTGTGTGTAGGAGGCCGGGTGTTTCAGTGCTTTGAACTGTGGTCTGGTATCAATGATTATAAAATGCTGTAATGACTTTTCATGCAGTCTGGTAGGCAGACGGTATGACATCAATTCAGAAATCATTTTTCTACTGGGTTGTATTCTCTGGTCCGTTGCCGACAGTTGTGTGGGAAAAGAGAACATATGAGCATGGATTGTCAAAGAGGAGTAAGCCTCCTCTCCAGAAGGAGATACATGCCTGATACTTTAAATCTGACCAAGATTCTTACCTCTTGGTCAGAAGCTCATAGGCCCAGGGCTGAGCCTGCTATTGTAGTTTGCTAAATGAACATAATATCAAAATACCCTCTAAATTTAGCTTTCCTGATTAGTGATCAGACCTCATCAGAGAACTCTATGTGCAGTGGATAGTGGTGAGCAAGCCCAAAGGGTCAGGACGTAGAATGTAAGTCTCTACGCAGTGCTCCACCGTAAGTGGGTTTGTCATGCCCCTTTCCCTCGGGGTTCATGGACCATCATAGAAGATGGGGCAGAAAGGTTGTGAGAGCCAGAGGTCAGGGAGGACTGGACAGAAACAGTCTTCTGGCCGTGACAGAACAGCTGCACTCGTATGCTCACTGCAGCTGTGCATGGCCACAGTCACTGGAGCTGCATTTGTGTGCTCATTGCAGCTGTGCATGGCCATGCAGTCAGTTGAACTGCACTTGTGTGCTTGCTGCAGCTGTGCATGGCCACAGTCACTGGAGCTGCATTTGTGTGCTCGCTGCAGCTGTGCATGGCCCTGCAGTCAGTTGAACTGCACTTGTGTGCTTGCTGCAGCTGTGCATGGCCCTGCAGCCAGTTGAACTGCACTTGTGTGCTCGCTGCAGCTGTGCATGGCCACACAGTCTCCAGTCACTTGACATCCTGACCTACAAGGAGGCAAGGCCCGCCATGCCCCTGCCTCTGCTTGAGGAACTAGTGACAGCTGATGGCAGCTAGGGATTGGAGAGTGTGGCCTTTTGTAGCATGACCACGTTCCGGTGGTCCCACACCTAAGAGTTTTTGGGCAACATAAATTTGAATCAGTGGATTATTGTGGGAAAAAATGACATGGATTAGACAGTGGGCTTGGGAGGAGTTAGTGTGGACTGAATGTGATCAAATACATTGTATACATGGATAGAATTAAAAATTAAAGTATTATTTTTTTTAAAAGAAAGTGATACTTGTATTTTTATAAGTCCTTAGGCAAGTTCTAGCATCATGGGGATGGGATCAAAATCATCTGCTTTATGCTTAAACTTCTAAGAATAAGTTTATAAAGAATGCCTGTCGATTTAGGGCAGGGAAAAATGTCGGTGGACCCGCACCTGGACTGTGTCCTAGATTGTTCTTGACAACCACCAGTTCATGTACTCTCTCTCCCCACATCTGTCAGCAGTGTTCCTGAGAATACAACCCAGCAATGTTACGAAAAGGCCCATGAAAGAAAAAGGATCTCTGAATTAGAAATTGGTCGGATACCCCCATGGCATTCACCCCACTATTGAAACCATGCTGGCCACTGTTGGGCTCCCAGCGCTCACAGCTGAGGAGGAGCACTGATGGCCTTCTCCTGCAGCTTAGAGTGCATCTCGTGGTACTATGTGTGTTCACCTACACTGAGGGAGCTGCGGGGTCAGTACCAACCTGATTCCTCTATTTCCTGTGACCAGGGTACTGGAGTCTTCAGCAATAGGGTTTTATCTACCAAGTTCCGGTGGCCAACCAAGAGCAATGGTAACAGCTTATATTGTTCTGGGGGTCTGGCCAACTACCTGAGGGGAGATTTCCCACACCTGACACTGGAGTTTTGGACAAGCATTATCCCCTGTGAAGGTTAAGTTCAATCAAATGAAAATATGAACAATAAATAGATTTAGGGAGCTTATGAAGTACTAGATTTCCATGTGGTTTTCCTTAACATCCTGCTGTCTCTGTTCTTCATCCCTCGTTGTCTTCTTCTCCCATCCCTCTCCCCACTTAAACCTCACTCCCTGTTCTTCCCCCTTTGCCTGCTATCCCTTGTATTCTGTGGCCTCCCCTCCTTGAGCTCATTTCCCTCCCTTTATTGAAGGGCTGCTTTACTGGGCGTAGTGTAATAGAGCCGTGATGTATGTTTATGTAAAAACAAAGCTGACTCAGACGGTTTCCGTGTTAAGGGAATGACTAAAACCTCCGGCTGGGGAAAGCAGCGGAGATGCTTTAATCACTCTGGAGATCTAAAGGGATTTCCTTTTGAGTTCTTAAAATGTCACACTGCCTTCACATTGGTGAGAACTGGGGTGGACACACACTGCCTTCACATTGGTGAGAACTGGGGTGGACACACTGCCTTCACATTGGTGAGAACTGGGGTGGACACACACCACCTTCACATTGGTGAGAACTGGGATGGGCGCATACCACCTTCACATTGGTGAGAACTGGGGTGCATGCACATCACCTTCACATTGGTGAGATCTGGGATGGGCGCAAACCACCTTCACATTGGTGAGAACTGGGATGGGCACACACCACCTTCACATTGGTGAGAACTGGGATGGGCGCATACCACTTTCACATTGGTGAGAACTGGGGTAGGCACACACTACCTTCACATTGGTGAGAACTGGGGTGGGCATACACCACTTTCACATTGGTGAGAACTGGGGTGGGGAAGCTTGGAAGATTATTGATGCCAGTACCATGGGGGAAAAGCAAATTATCTTGAAACAATTTATCCTTCAAAATAAGGTGAAGCATCTGGGGTGAGGCTTGGACTACTTTCCTCTGAATGATCCTGATGATTTTACAGTTAATGTATTTCCTAATTAAAAGAAATTCATGCCTCAAAATTATTTCCTGCTGTGAATTACTATTTGAACAATATATGTGGATATTAAAGATTTATATTATAAATGACATGACTTTGATCTGAATAGCATTACAAAGTAGATAAATTGTGGTACATAAAAGAAGTTAATGTATAAGTTGCTCCTCATGAGATCCTTTAAAATAAAACCATTAAATTTGTATTTATGTGTGGTCCCATAAAAGTATATTGTGCACACGCATCTGCAGAGGTCAGGAGAGGGCGTTGGAGCCCCTGAAACTGGAGCTGCAGGTGACTGTGAGCACTGTGTGGGTTTGGAGAATGACCTCAGGTCCTCAGCGAAAGCAGTGAGCTCTCTGAACCACTGAGCCCTCTGTCCAGTCTCTAACTTTATGAAATCTTAATTCCTGACTAATCCATTGAGACAGTTTTCCTTAGATTTTGCAACCATTATTCATTCCGGGAAAGTATTGTCACCCATGGGGTTAGTCAGTCAGATCTTATCCTTATAGCACCTCAGTTAAAGAAGGAAGCAACTGCTAAAAATAATTAGTTAAGTGCAGTTATGAGTTCTAGAGAAAAGAGTAGACTCTAGTGTTACAGAAGCAGTGTTGTGTGCGGAGGACCGAGCTCAGGAATAAGGGACCTTCTTGAAGATTTCAGTGTTGGAGCAGGCTTTCTGCCAGGCCCGTGAGGGAATGGCAGCGTTGTGGTCAGTGCCTGGGGACAACGTGACAGTGCTGGTCGTCCCTGCTGATGCACGGCTGCAGTTAGGAACCTCATTTGTCTTCAGTGTCAAATCGGCGATTTTCCCTGTTGTCCTTTGATTGCACCAAATCTGCGAGGCCGCCAGAGAGATCCTGCCTCACCATGCGGCTTCCCATCAAGTGATTTGAAGGTTATTTTCTGGTGTTAAATATCTGTGTCTGTGTGAAGAAGACACTAATTCTAGGTTATGTATTGAAACATTTGGGTGTTTGCTGAGGTTCATTTAGTTTATGCTGTTTGTTTTATATGCAGATCTTCTTTTCTAACCTTTTTAATTTTGTGAATTGCCTTCTACTATTATTTAATGCAACCACGGTCTCCCAGTGGTGGCCGGTCAAATGGTCATTTCTTGTGCGGCTTTCCTTTGTATGTAAAGTTTGTATGTGTGTTGTTTTTATAACTAATGTTTGTGTCTAAACTCATGAAAGAGAAAAGAAAATTGTCAAGCTTTAGTTATATAGTATGAACAATACGGGCCAGTATACTAGGCTGTGTGCAAATGCACATTTTCCTATGTTTCCCAAAATTTGAGTGGAGTTCATTTACACACTAAATTTTGTGCTGGTTTGGTGTCATGTGCTTCCTGCCAATTTGAGAATCTCAAATCGGAAGAGAAGCAGAATGTGCGGTGTGTTGGTGCTAACTGGAAGTTTCTGTGTTGTTCTCACAGGTTATTCTTGTCCAAGTTAACCCTGGTGAGACCTTCACAATAAGAGCCGAGGATGGAACACTGCAGTGCATCCAAGGTAAGGAAGGTTCTCGATAAACATTCTAACCAAAGGGTTTCCCCTTTATTATAAAGGAAGTAAACATTCCCCTCGTGTTTACATATGATTTCCTACAAGCAAATATATCTTCTCTTTATTCTTCTGTCATATGGTCGGTCTCAAGTCTACATTATTATGATACATCCAGTGGTATTGTGTACTGGATACCTGTTAGTTATCCATTGCTGGGTGGCATAATACAGACCACTCATCACCTCAGTTTCTGTGGCCCAGGGAGTGGCTTAGCTGTGTCCCAGGGCTCTGGGACTCAGAAAGCTTGAGTCAAAGGGTGGGTATGGACTGCAGTCTTCTGACAAGGCTAGATACGCATCTAGACATTCAGATCCCTGTTGGTGACCTTGGGTTTTGTGAGGCTCCTCGTAGAATGTTCCCTTGTTTCCTTGCTGAGGGGACCTCTGTGGAGGATGGAGTAGTCACATATGTGACTGCCGGCTTGATCAGAGGGACTAACTTCGAGATAAGAGGGGGTCAGAGCTATGCCCCCACCCTCCTGCAGATGGGAAATCAAGGTCATGAATACCAGGAGGCAGCTGCCAGCCACTGTTTACCCTGTGGCCCCTGATGGTTCATGCCTTTTTCCACATGTAAAATGCCCCTCCTGAGATTGCCACCAGGCTTACCCTAGTCCACTGTCCCCAGAATCCAGAATTTTGTTCCTAAACAAGGCCCATGTGTGAGTGAGACATTGCGGATAGAGGTCTTTAAGCCCCACGTCCCAGACATCCGCTGGCTTGTGCTTGGTGTGCTCTCTGTGGCCCTTGCAGAGCTCTTCTCAGGCATGCCGCTCCATGGGGAGTTCCGTGTGGAGTGACGCTGCCAACCCTGGTCCTGGACCGCGTTGGAAGTGTAGCTCATGAGAGCTCTTCTTGATAGTGGTGGGGCGGGGAGTAAATTGTGATGAAATTGAACTCAGTGTTAGGCTATTGATTAGACAGAATCTAACCAGAAGATTAATTTATAAAACCTGGCCATGTTTATCAATACCTATTAGGAGAGAGGAAACTCGTGTTGTCTTTGCTGTACTGCAGTGGCCTTCATAGCAACAGATCGTTGCTTTACTGCTTGGATTGGAAGAACAGTAATTTATAACTTAAAGAAATGAACATATGTTAAAGATTTAAGCCTAATGAATTTTAATTGGAGTTAAACTGGAATAATTCAATGATTTTGTTAATGATTTTTTGCTGACTGTACTTCTCTGGCCAGTGCTGTTTCAATTAATTTTCATATTATAAACTTAGTCTTCATTCAGAAAAAGTTTGATGAAACTTCAAGTCAAGGAAGAGAGTGAGAACCATTTTGAATTAGTATGAGCTATTTCCTGCTTCTAGTACATCATAAACAGACTTTGTCTGCAGTTAAAAACCTCCAAGTCCATCTCTTTCGGATTCACACGAGAAGGTTAGATGGAAACTCACTTCTGTAGGTAGAAGCTGAGGTTTTCAGTTTAGGAAGAAAGCAGTTCAAAAACCCCAGCAATTGGGAGACAGAGCCAGGAAGTTCTGAAGTTAAGGTCATCCTCAGCTACATAGTAAGACTTCATGGCCAGCCTGGGCTACTGTGAAATTCTATCTCAGACAAACTCCGTAGTGGCTGAGACTCTACTCGTTATGGTGATGGTGGACCCACATGGGACAACTAGAAGCCAGATGCTCCACAGATGAGCAGAGGTCCCTGTAGTTGCTTTCGCAGGAGTGTGTGTGGATACGAATGGGACTATGTAGTATATGTGCTTAGATGTGTGTCTACATATTCATAGAGTTGACTTGTTTAGAACTTGAGTCCATTTGGTAACCGGTGCTCTCCACAGGCAATGCTGGAAGTACATTGCTTTGTTCACAAGGGACCTTTGTGTTTTGTTTATTCATGGTGATTTTTGGTGATAAGCGGATCCTAACACCCTCCCAGTGATTTAAGAATGCCTTTGACTAAAGCAGAATTATGGAGTCTCATTATCTTTGGCTGCCTCAGCCTTCCTATTCTTTGTTCTTTTCTACAATTTGGGGGTTCTGGCCCAGTTAGCTGAAATGCCACCATACAGAATGAGAGAGGCAGGAACCAGGAACTACATACTGTGCTAGGGTTCTGGGGAGGACGGGGCAACTGGGCGAGCTTAGAAGTGTGGAAGGGAAGTAGCCGGCAGGTGGACCCATAAGCCCTGCCCCCAGGTCTAGAGCACAGGCAGGCACCCACCCAGAAAATTCAGTCTTCACCTGAGTGCCACTGTGAACTGGTCACCCACATGTGTTGATTCAGTCGGTAGGATGTGGGGGCTGCCTGTCCATGGCAACTTCTGGCGCAGGGTGTTATGGCTTCCTTCCGTTAACCAGGATTTCATCCTTGTTGCTGTAGCATTTTTTGCACTCGGGCTATAGTGCGTGTGCTCTCCTTTAGTGAGCGTGACGGACACGGGAGGAGGCTGAGGTATGTGTATACTGACACATATTCTGAAAGCTCGTGCCCTGAGGGAGCAGAGCCACTTTGCGTCCCTGATGCGGCTGACTCCATAGCCCAGCTTCTTTATTTCTATGCCCCGTGGTTTTCTGTCTGTCAGCCACATCACAAGATTTACCCAGGAAGAAGCCTTGGGACTTGAAGACCAGAATGAGGCAGAGGTGCTTTGCATAGCTGCAGACTCACTTTGCTGGTGGAGCTATGGCGCACCTATTAGTTCAGGAAAGCAGACAATGTGTAGAACTTAAATTCTTTTTGTCCAGTGCCATGATTGAACCCAGCTTCCACGTTGACACTTCATTCTCTCATTCCCGAGAAAGGAGTAGTGGGGCCAAGGAGAGCCACTTTTCCCTTTGTGTCTGTGTGTGTTTGCATGTGTGGGTGCTTGTGGGTACACGTGGGTGTGACTGTGGCTGTGTGGTTGTGCATGTGCCACTGTGTGCACACAGAAGTCATGGGACAAGCTCAGGTACCATTCACCTTGTTTTCCACTGTGTGCACACAGAAGTCACGGGACAAGCTCGGGTACCATTCACCTTGTTTTCTAAGACTGTCTCTTATCCTGAACTTGTCTAGTAGGTGAGGCTCTCTCCAGTGAGCCCCAGGTCTAGTTTCCTTCTCCCTAGCACTGGGATGACAAGTGCGCATCGCCATGCCCAGCTCTTCCTTCCTTCCTTCGTTCCTTTCCCCTCCCTCCCTCCCTCCCTCCCTCCCTCCTTCCCCTCTCTTTTTGGTTTTTTTGAGACAGGGTTTCTCTTTGTAACAGCCCTGGCTGTCCCAGAACTTACTTTGTAGACCAGGCTGACCTTGAACTCACAGAGATCTATTTGTCTCTGCCTCCCAGTGCTGGGATTAAAGACTTGTGCCACCACCACCCAGCTCATGCCTAGTTTTTTAATGTGGGTCTGGGGATTGGGTTTCAGCCTCTATGCTTGCAAAGCAAGCTCCTTCCCAGGGAGGACCGTCTCCCAGCCCCTTGTGCCTTGTCAAAACCTATGAAAAAAAAAAAGAATCAGAAGTTGAGTCATATTGTACGGCCCTCTGAAAGAAGTCTTTACATTGAGAATGAGATTGCCCCGGTTCATTTCTCAGTATAAGTCATTAGTGGAGGTGACCATCCTAGAAATTCTTAGGCGCACACATTGTTTTGCACCTTGGTTGGAATTGTCAGCCTGCTAACTTGCCTTTGCACAGCAGCCTGCAGGCTAGAGAATGCTCTTGGGGAAGCTAGTGATAGAAGATTAGAGTTCTGGAAATTTTGAAATCATACTGAGGCCAGCCTTTTTGTTTATAGTTTAATTGATTTTCCACATAACTTTCTCTCTACATCACTTTGACTTCACTAAAAAAGACCCCAGAAACTCAGCGTGATGTCATTAAACAGCAGCTTGGAAGTTGAGAGCAGATTAATGTTGAGGAATATGATTGCTTTGGAAAAAAAAGATTTGTATTTTTGGGAATGTCCTTGGTGATAACAAAGGAAGAACAACACAGGAAACATACTATATGCTGTGAAGGCAGATTCATTGCTGATGGAATATTTCTCAATATTTTCCATGAAGTATGAATCCTAAGTGTTAGACGGGACCACCACAGGGCACAGCATATAGTCACTTGGAGACTGTACGATACCTGAAGCGGCAGAGGCCAAATAATTTTCCTTCTTTGGTCAAACAAAATTGTATAAAGAACAGACAAGAAAAAGAGTCTTAGTAATCAATATGAATTCTGGCCTTTGCTTACAGTCAGGAATTAATAGACGCAGTGTGGGTCTCGTTATTGTCGTGTCCCTGTCTGAGCCGAGGCGCTGGCAGGGTAACCTTCTTTCCTGTCTACACATGCCATCTCTTTATCTGGGCCATTTCTCTGCTCTCTGCAGCATCCTGCCAAAACAAACATTCCACTTCCTGGAAGGCCTTAGGTCTGCCCGTTCCTAGAGCCATTTTGGACCACAGCCAGTCCACTTTGACTGTTCTCTGGCCTAGGGAGGAGCAGGTAGGGAGCAGCTCCCGGGTTGCTTATGGATGTAAACCTTTCCCTAGGTTAGAGTAGGAAGGTCAGTGCTCCTCCACCCTGCTCCTCAGCAGTCCAGCTTGATTGTGAGTGGACTCATGCTAGTTTGCGTTATGCCAAGTGTGAGTCCTTTACACTTTACTCTTTCAGTAAGATTTTAATTATGTTGAGTCAATATGCTTTCTCAGAAATCTTCCTTGAACTTTGAGAATTTCAATCACACTGATGCTCAAAGCCACCTGTTTGCTTTAGAGAACCGGTCAGCAACTTCTTTTAGTCAGTTGCTCCTGCGCATGCTCATTCTCTTCCTCCCTCCTCCACCCCCCACTCTTCTGCTTCCTTTTCTCCCTGATGCTGGGACTTGGGACTTGAACCCAGGATTTTTACACACGCACTCTTCTGTTGACTAACATTTCCAGCGTAACATCTTTAAGTTGTGAAGAATTATCATAATGACCTTCTGTAAATGACACAGTTTCTGTGTTTTAAGG